CTATAATTTGCACAATTTCAACTTGTCTTTGGAATTCCTTCCGCAAAATCAGGTGTCCCGTACCAACAATCATAATTCATAACAGCAAGCTCTACTCTCAGGCAGCCTCTTTTCAAATCAGAGCAGGCTTAGAGCGAAGAACAGAGGGAGAGACAGACAGCACCGACAAAGACATGACCGACAGACCGCAACAACTACACCATTCAATCCAACTCCACATGAAGAAGGTCCTGAGATAACTTCTGTTATGAATTGGTGCTACACAAATAAAATTGAATTGAATTGAACTGAATTGAATTAAACATTTAACTAACTTTTAGCTTGGAGAATCCGCAACTGAATGTTTTTAAATAATTTTTACGGGTTATACACTCGAATAATCACAGACAAAATCGTGTTGTTCCCACCCTGAGTATCTAGAAATGTCACTAAAATAGCACAGTGTAAGTTAATGTCCATGAGTTCTGGGCCCGTTGGAAAATGTGGCCCTGGTTCATTAGGATTCAAATTCAATTACCTTCAACTACACTGAACTGCTTTGACAGCAGTCATCTTTGATATAAATATCTCAAAGCATTGGGTAAATAAAACTAAAACTATCCACGTCGAATGGACTAAGTGATTTTCATAGTTTGACTTTTTTCCTCACGAGACACTTGCCACATTTAGAAAGAAAATGCACCTTTAAGTCTACTGTTTTTTATAAAATTAATTGCCTGCACTGCTAATTGAAACCAATAAGCAGCGGGAGGCTAGCTCTGTCTCATAATGAGAGCAGCTCTGTTAACAAGCAGTTTCTGAAGGAAATCTGAGGAGCAGAGTGGCGGCTTTATCCCAGAAGAAACACCTTGACTAAAATTCAAAAAAGACCAGGCCATCCTGAACTGGTGAGAGCTGCAGGCTGAAAAAGAGATGGAGGAGAGAGGGCTGGAGGGATAAAGAGAAAAAGCAATGAGGGTGCTGACACATCCTGACAAAATGGAACAGGGAGTATCACTCAGCACCTCACACACCAACACGAATACACTACATACACACACATACATGCTGTACATGAGAGCTTGCCTTAAAAACAAGGCACCTGGATCCCAGCTTCTGCTGAAAGCAACAGATGCCAGAAATACAGCTTCACATATAGAGCCAAGGACAAAGAGGTCACATAATCACACACACTTCCTCACATACTTTATCACACACACACACACACACTCAAACACACACAGACTACGGTTCAACTATCCAGGCCTGAATCTGGCATGCATAGGTGAGCTTATTACAAAGCCACAGTTAATAAAACCCTTGACTGCGCATGCATTTTTACAAGGTGAGCCCTCTTGCCTGCATATGTGTGTGCGCTGTCAATCTGTAAGTTTGTATCTTTGTGTGTCTTTGTGAGTTTTGTCTCCATGGGGGAAATGTTAGTAAAAGGGGAAGAGTTTTATTAGAGCGTTGCATGGTACCAGCTGTCTAAACTGGCTCCCTTTCTCCAGACCAAGAAGCTCTCTTCCTGTGTTCACAAGCAAGGGTTCTTCAATTTCTTAACATCTCAAGGTCCTCCACTGCAGTGTCAAAATGTTCTCATCCTCACATGTTTCGAGGCTCTTAAGCTACAAATTAGCTTGAAGAAATCCCACAAGCCACAACCGCAGACTTATGTGCTGATAAAATGACAATCGCTCACATATTTATTATGTGGACGTGCATTCTGAAAAGTCACCCCCACCATATGTCTGAGTATCTGCCTATTTATCTATGTACCTTCTCTGGTTGCTGCCTACTGCATCAATCACACCCTCTCACCACCGCAACAGCTGCCTCTTGTCAATGTCGCTCTGCAGCAGCTGAGGGCGAGGGGAGGAGTGCGAAACCGCGTTTAACAGCCTCGGTTCTGGCTGAAGGGAACGTGGGGAGGGGGGTTGGGGGTTTGGTTAACAGAACATCAGGATCCCATTTAGACCAGAGGGAGGCTCATGGGAGTGGGACCGGGCGTTAGCCGAGTATGCCAGGGAGGAAGTGGGAGGTCGTGTGTGTGCATGTTCATCTGCATGTTTTGTTTTTTTTATGCACTTTTAATCATAGCTATGTTAATCCTGCAGCCTTATGAGCTCTGCTGTATTGTCTTTAATGTGGTTGTTTGAGTTTGCCACTGTTTCCATTGAAGAGTCATAATGAGGTGTTTGTGTGGTGAAACGTCTGCATCTCTCTTCAGCAGAACAGGAGAGCACTGTCCTCATGCACCCCTAGGTTAAAGGTCAGGGCTGAGGCATGTGGTTGTCCACAACAATCCCTATACGATGCTTGATCTTTGACCTCTCTCTGCCCAGGTCGGCTGCCAGCC